TTGCACTTTCTGACTGTATATAGTATCATGTTACAGTGATGGAGAGTTACTCTTAACTCGTATCCATATGTCCTTTTCTCTTCTACATTATTATTATTATTCAAACAGTAGTTTGGAGGCGGTGGAAAAACCGTTTCGTAATCAATATTCGCATGCAACGACGCAAATCCACACAATTCAGTAGACACTTCCTTTCTATCAACGTTTTCTTTCCCTTCTCTTCAGGATAGTACAGGGAATGTTGGAAATTTGGAAAAACACATAACTATATAGAAAAAAATAGAGAAAAAGTCAACACTTCAACATAGGCGATAAAATGACGATCCAGCTCTGCATAGGGTCTTGGTCGAGCGGAATCGGATCTTTGCGTGATAATACCGTACAAATCTGAGGGGAACCCGGGGAGTCGCGGGTACTCTTGGATCAAAAACAATGGTGCCCTGCGTCGAGACCGGCCTTGCACTGGTGTGGAGTGTACGCATGACATCAGAAGATCCGATTCCGCTCGACCAAGACCCTATGCAGAGCTGGATCGGCGTTGCACACTCTGGGGGGGGGGGGGGGGGTTATGTACTCTTGACCCAATGAATAGAGTAAGCTGCGCACTCAGTACAAACACCATTAGCAAAACTTGTTTTCATGTAAATATAGTAGTTTTTTGACAAGAAGGGAATGAAAACGTTCAATACTTTGAATTATGTCCTAATTGGCTGGTGGTGACTCTTGCGTAGATGCATGCGTAGATAACAACTTTTTTTGTATTATTATTTTTATTACTTATTTTTAATTTTTACAAGAGGTCGGAGGCGGATAATACTTTAAAAACGAAGGTACGTTTTGGGTCGTAAGTATCCACGCAACACCCATCCATCCTCATTATTATTTTCCTTCGAGTTTTGTGTCGTGCTGAACTTGATAATTTTCCACCTTGGCACGAGTGTTGTTATCTCATTTTCTTTACGCTATACAAGTTTTAGTCTTTCCAACTTGAGCCATTCCCTGTATAATCCTTGATGAGAAGGGACCGAAAACGTTCGGTTACTTTTGACAAGTGCTTTATTTTGACTGGATGTGTGTTGCGTGGATACTTGCGACCCAAAACTTACCTTCGTTTTTGAATTATTATTATTATTATTATTGAAGTGTGTTGGTACAGTTAGGGCTGCGTCCCACCCGCCTGTGTGGATTCACAGGAAGTGTGAGCTACGAGGTCTGAAGAAAATGTTGAACAGTCTCTGCTCGGATGACGACTACACCATAGCTCAGTGGTTAGAGCATCGCTAGCTACAAGCAAGGGTCTCTGGTTCGAGTCCTGGTGGTAACAGTCAATTTTTTCTTCAGACTTTTCCCGTTTGTCTCTTTCCCTCAAACTAGTGAAGATGTTATGACTTGGGGCTCCGCGTGCTAGAGTGTACGTGAAGTGTGCGGGTACAGTGAGGGCTGTGTCCTACCCGCCTGTGTGGATTCACAGGAAGTGTGAGCTACGAAGTACCAGCCTGCGATGTCGGATACCGCCAACCATGCATCGACCAGGCGCCAGGTGCAAACTGATGGTGGTGGTGGTGGTGAGAAGGAGAGCTCTGTGCCAGAACTTTGCAGCTTAGAGAGTGTGGCGTGGGTTTACCGCCATATTGCCAGGTGTTTTTTACCACCATATTTATCAGCTTGGCAAATCATTTCATCTAAATGTGGCCTGATATGAAAAAAGCCAAAATGTGTGATTCCATGAAAAGGACATCACGATACCAGAAACAATTTGCTGGTTAACTCATGTTTATCTCGCTAAACTCCTGCTTGGGTCAGACAGTCAGAGAGTCAGAGAGTGGTCGAATAGCAGTCCAAATTGAAATCTTGATGAATGCGTAATCTTTGAAAGACAATTTAAAACAAAAAAAGAGTTTGTGGACACATTGTGCAGCATAAAAGTCAATCAGTCACCAAGACAAGATTTGAAGAGTTTTACTGGAGTCTCCGAAATAAGAATAATGCACGAAGAAAAAACCAAAATAGAATCAGCTTGAAGACCAATTCACGCCTCCATTGTTGTTTTCTCAGAAATTTCGAGTCCAAGTGTAGTTAAACCCTCATTCCATGTTAACCCTTTACCGTTTTAGGTATTTGTACAGCATAAACCGACCGTCATTGTTCATGCCGTAACTTTTTTATTTTTCACTTTTATTATGTACAAAATGGGGTGATTCTGAAAGTAAAAACCCTCAGGAATGCGATGCAACAACTTTCAAGTCCAGAAAACGAACACAGATTTCACTATTTAGCACTAATAATTATTTGGATTTATTCCCGATCGGGCAAACTGTTGCAATTTGCAATAAATCAGATCCTTGCACTGGAGTGGCTCCCTCAGGTAAGTGGATACCAGGTTCGTTCTCTGGGTGGAATGCAGGAGTGTTACCAGTCACAGCGGTGTCAGCATTGTCCCAAGTATTGCAAATATCGACTAGTGCAGGTTGCACCGCTGGCTGTACATAGTACCTGTGCACCACGACCTCTACCGTGACGACGGCCTATTCCACGGCCGAATCCTCTCTCTCTGCCACGTCCCCTTCCACCATTAGTGGCACTCATCTCAGCGACACTGTCGTCGTCTGTGACATCCATGTCACTCTCACTGGCGCTGCTTTCACTCGCCATGTCATCGTCGCGGTCGTCGTCAGAATAAATATTTTCAACAGGATTGTCTGGCTCCACAAACTCATCTTCGCTGGATGAGGCAGCGACAGAGTCGTCAGGAAGGGTCTCCAGAAGCGAAAGAGCTTGCTCTGCGTCCATGGCTTGCACAGCAGGGCAGACAGTCGTGAGGCCAGCTCAAGCAAAAGTCGAAATAATCTGCAGGCAATACCAAAAGTCGCAGGGTACGCACTTTTCCCAAAGCGCATTTTTCAAGTCGCGATTTTCGCGATTTTTTATATTGCATCACACAAAAAATTTGTCGGCACCCTCTGCGCGTACATCTTGGCTACCAGTAGGGAAAATCCCAGCTCTCTGCGGTGAACCAGTCCAGCGCTGTGCGCATAGAAGTCATCGACCGCGAGCGGTCGAAATTTGTACGTACAAACGGTAAAGGGTTAACATTTTTTACTACGTTACCAGTTTATTGGGGTCTTTTTGCAATCCAGGAACGTTTTGGGTGGTATTCTTGCAAACTCTCCATTTTATATAACTATTGTGCTGTGTTACCTTCCCATAGACCAATGCTTTGACCAAACTGCATTTGTTGACAGCTCTGAAGTTTGCCGGGATAATTTGCAAGTTGCAAAATACCAGCCAAAACGATCCTGGGGTCCAAAAGGACCCCAATATACTGGGAGCATAGGAAAAAAGGCCACATGGAATGAGGGATAATGCCTGTAGGAGAACATTTTCTTGTAGGGCCTCATACGTCAGTGGATGTCATTCATGTGTTCGGTGAACATGGAGATAATTACCAAAACTAACCTCCAACCCAAATTAATTATGGATCTCGGTTATGCCGTTTTCATTATGCAGAGCTCACGGACTTGTCAGTTTGAGCACTCCGGCAAGGTATGTTCGGGCCTGGTTTAAGTAGGGCTCTAAATAGGGCTTTGCAAAATATATTTTTCATTGCTATCAGGTTCGGCCTCATTTTAGCTGTTCTGCTCTGATAAATCCACAAAGGACGAAACAGGTCTGGAACAGGTCTGTCCGCAGATTGAGTATTTTGCTCCTGCTCTTGTAGCAGTTGAGCACTCTGGCAAGGTACGTTCTGGCCTGGATTAAATAGGGCCTTGACAATTTTATTTTTCATTGCCATCAGTTTTGGCCTCATTTCCTTTGTGCTACGCTGATGAGTCCACAACGGACGAAACAGGTCTTTCCGCAGATTGAGGATTTCGCTACTGCTCTTCTAGCAGTTGAGTACTCTTGTGTGGGGTAGCGCTTTTGGCGTTTGTGTTATGCAGAGCTCACTGACTTGTCAGTTTAAGCACTATGACAGGGTACGTTTGGCCTGGTTTAATTAAAATAGGGTTTTGGATTTTTTCATTGTCATCATGTTTGGCCTTATTTCCTCTGTGCTGCGCTCATGAGTCCACAAAAGATGAAACAGGTCTGTCTGCAGGTTGAGTACTTATCCAGCAGGCGCGTACGCAGGGGGGGTTTCCCGTTGCCCGGAAACCCCCCAAATGTTCAAAACGAGCAACGTTTTTGGGCATTTTTTGGTAGGGCGCATGATCGATCTGGCAAGAATAGCAAAACTTCAAAAGATCATAACTCATTCAAATCTCGCTCAAATCCAACGATCCAAATATCCAGGTCGAATAGAAAACTCTCAGCTGTCGGTTGAAACAATTTGCGAAGCGCTGCGAGCAATGTATCGTGAGATAAATCATTCGTAAGTCGAGCCGCGATCTCGGCAATTTCAAAAGCGCACAGCGCGACTTGAGTATTGAGAATTTCGTCGCGCTAATTTGCTCAAATTTGCAGGGGCTTCACTTGTGATATTTTCAAGAGTACACAGCAAAAAAATCGAAACTCTGCGATCGAGAAAAACGAAAACGTTGGAGCAGGACGCGTTTGGGCCTGTTTGGGGCATTTTTCGCACCGTCGCTGCACTCTACCGCTATAGCCTATAGCGCTGGATATGTACATGACTGTACTGTGTCCTGGCTATCATGGTCGACCTCATTCTCTCCCGGGTACCTTTCCACTTCCAGGAAGCCCAAGACAATGAAGATTGAGTGAGTAGAATTGAAGGTATGATCCAAACAACACGAAAAAATGCATAATTTTTTGAAAATGTCCTAGGGCTCTTTAGAAAGGTAAAACTTAAAACTCATTGTTTGGATTCGCTTGGAAACCCCCCTAGAGGTGACCCTGCGTACGCGCCTGTCCAGGGTATTGTGTTGTTGAGGAATACATGAAATTTCAAGGAGATGTGATGCAGCAAAGTAAAAATATTTCAAAAATCATACCCCTGGGGACCCTTTGGACCCCACAACCCGGAATGACGGTTAACTTACAGTTGCTCAAGCTTTGGTAGGTTAGCAAATACATTTGTAGGAAGGCTTGTAAGTTGATTGAAGTTCAGGAATCTGCAAAGGGAGAGGAGAAAAGGGGACTAAACATATTTGTGAATATTTGGGTTCAGTGATGGCGGCTAACATACCAGGCGGTAAACCGTAATAGGAGGAATAGAACACAAGTCATGGACTGAAAACAATTGCATGAAAAAAAGAATGTTATAAAAAAAATTGGAACCCTACTCAAACGCAGCAAAATTCAATGAAGCGAGAACTGTAATAGAATAAGTATGCCATACACTCTCAGTAGTATGACAGAAAAGAAACATGCTAAGAGAAATGACATAATGTACTTGTACCTAACAATATCACACTCCAGCACACCACAGGATGACGGGTCATTTGTTGGTGAGCCTGAAGCGGTTGCTGGTCTGGGTGAGGAAGAGGGTGGATAGTTGGTCGCGCGAATTGCGGAAGCTGTCTCGGTTTGCCAAGACGGAGCCACATGCTGCCTATGCAGCACTGACCTATGGTTTACGGTGTAGGTGGGTGTACCTTTTCCGCACTGTGCCCCTCCCGGGTGAGTGCGTCAAGAGCTTAGACAATATCATCGCTTTCGAGTTTTTCCCAGCACTGACGGGTCGTGGTGCCTTCACCGAGGAGGACTTACGCATGCTGAGACTGCCCACCCGGTTGGTTGGTCTGGAAATCCTGTCGTTCCAGAGGATGAGTCAGACGGAACGTGGCGCGTCAGTGAAAATGACAGAGGCTCAGGTTGCTGAGCTAGTCAGCCAGAACAACACATCCTGGGAAAGACGCCGGACTGAATGCATAAGGGAGGCTGCTTTTAACGCAAAAAGATGCACCGGCAAGCAGCGAGCTGCATCAAGTGAAAATGACTTCAAACTGGTGGAGCAGGCTGCATCGCTTGATGGGGCTTGTCTACTTGGCCACCTGGCGTCCCGAGGGGTGTCCAGCTGGCTCAACTCACTGCCACTGCGGGACCATGATTACCACCTCTCGAAAGGAGATTTCCGTGATGCTTTTGCGCTGCGGTACGACTGGGCACTGGCGGATGTCCCGTTAACCTGCTCCTGTGGCCGTCCATTTAGTGCAGCCCATGCCATGAGCTGCCTGACTGGAGGATTCTCGACAATACGGCATATCGAAGTGCGAGACATCCTGGCTGATTTGCTGACTGAAGTGTGCGTGGATGTTGCTGTGGAGCCAGTGCTCGCGCCACTCTCTGGTGAGGTGTTTGTCGCCGCGTCTACGAATACAGCGGATGATGCCCGGGCAGACATTCGCGCGAGGGGGCTGTGGACCCGGGCCCAGAACGCCTACATGGACGTTCGAGTATTTCATCCTGATGCGCCTTCCTATGCTGCGTTTTGGCAGAGCACGAGCGCAGAAAGAAATCTGAGTTTGCTGAACGCATAATCAATGTGGATCGTGGTACATTCACTCCTCTCACCGTCCAGGAGCGACACTGACTCACGCTGCTATCTGGTGTTCACAAAGTGTTTGTCGCGCTGGAAATGGAGCGTCTCTGCAAGTTTGTATCCCTGGTGATGTTTGTGCCTGGAGAGCACTATATAAGTGGTGCTCTTCAGGCACAATCTTCCTTAGCCTACTCAAGCTCAACTGATGAGGGGTGAATTCCCCGAAACACTGTGTATTGAGCAGGGAGTGGTGCTTTCTTGCAGGTTTGCCGAGTCGAAGGTTCGATGGACTTCTCGTGTGCTCTGGATGGCAGTCGTGAGTCAGTCAATTGTCAAGTAAAGTCGGCGGAATAGCGCGAGCTCCAGTGTGGGGAGCAAACCTTTCTTACAAATAATATTATTATTATTTGTAAGAAAGGTTTGCTCCCCACACCGGAGGTCGCCGGGCTCGCCGGGCTCACCTTTCTTACAAATCATCGCCGAAGTCGCAACCACTACTTCGTAATATTATTATTATTATTATTATTATTATTATTATTATTATTATTCAAAGGATCAGTCGGGGAAGTGAACTGCCTGAAAAGAGAAAAAAACGCCAGACCCACCAGGACTGGTGGGTCTGGCGTTTTTTTCTCTTTTCAGGCAGTTCACTTCCCCGACTGATCCTTTGAATTTGAAGTTCTCCCAATCCTTTCCAAATTATTATTATTATTATTATTATTATTATTATTAACTGAGGGAAAGAGACAAACAGGAAAAGTCTGAAGAAAAAAATTGACTGTCACCACCAGGACTCGAACTAGGGACCCTCGCTTGTAGCCAGCGATGCTCTAACCACAGAGCTATGGTGTAGTCGTCATCCCAGCGGAGGCAGTTCAACATTTTCTTCAGACTTCGTAACTCACACTTCCTGTGAATCCGCACAGGCGGGTGGGACGCAGCCCTCACTGTAACCCACACACTTTACGTACAAACTAGCACCCGGGGAGCCCCAAGTCATAACATATTAAGGTGCCTGGGGCGGTACAACTTTTTTGGGAAAATTTGACTTCATTTTTGAGTTTATCGGCAAGGCAGAGATGAAATTTGAAGATGTTTTCGGGTGAATCTCTGGAGAAGAGCCTTCTCTAGCCTACTATAGTTTTATTTTTACTTTTGGACTAAATTTGAAAACGTTTTATGAAAGGTTCGTGTTATTTTTTCACGGACCTTTCATAAAACTTTTTCAAATTTTGTCCAAAAGTAAAAATAAAACTATATGAGGCTAGAGAAGGCTCTTCTCCAGAGATTCAACAGAAAACATTTTCAAATTTCATCTCCACCTTGCCGATAAACTCAAAAATGAAGTCTAAATGTGATCAAAATAATCCCTAAAAAGTTGTACCGCCCCAGCCACCTTAACTGGTTTGAGGAAAAGAGACAAACGGGAAAAGTCTGAAGAAAAAATTGACTGTCACCACCAGGACTTGAACAAGAGACCCTCGCTTGTAGCCAGCGATGCTCTAACCATTGAGCTATGGTGTAGTCGTCATCTCAGCAGAGGCCGTTCAACATTTTCTTCAGACTTCGTAACTCACACTTCCTGTGAATCCACACAGGCGGGTGGGACGCAGCCCTCACTGTAACCCACACACTTCACGTACAAACTAGCACGCGGGGAGCCCCAAGTCATAAAATATTAACTGGTTTGAGGGAAAGAGACAAACGGAAAAAGTCTGAAGAAAAAATTGACTGTCACCACCAGGACTCGAACCAGGGACCCTTGCTAGTAATATTATTATGGAGTTGGCTTTATTTCACTCACGTTGTCATGACATGAGGTAAGAACCCCATCACCGGGCCAAAAGAGACCAAGGGTAATGAGAGAAAAAAATAGATAAATGGCCAACGCAATGAAGACCGAAGCAAAAAGGATTGTAAAAACCAAAGCAAAAATTAATATTGAAAGCCGGCGCAGAAACTGAGAGACAGACAGAAAAAAGCAGAACGATGGAGGAGGCCAGGACCTATTCGAATACAAAAAGATCGAGGACGACAGGATATATTCGAATACAAAAAGAGTAATCACAAAAATGGACTACCAGTACAGGAATAGACCTGTAGAAATAGAGGAAGAGATGAACGCCGGACATACTCAAATGGCAAGAGAAAAATCAGGCTGTGAGGACCGTCATACTGCACATTCATGGATATTATTATTATTAAAAGCATGTCCGCGTAGGTGGCGGGGGTGCCACTTTCGCTTATGCCATTCAGGATTGATGTCTGAAGAGTAATACGATACAATGAAATGACAGAAGTGACGCCAACAAAAGCCGTTAGCAACAACACAAATATGACTAATGGAAAACTTCATCCAAAGTATAAAATAAAAATATGCATACAACATGTCTGATCAGTCCTGTTAGGTGGGGCGGGCTCCACGCCATGCCTGTCGGTCCGCTGCCATTGTGCGGACTGCGTCAACATCTAGCGGCTGGTGGAGGGTAAGTCCATGCCATGATAACAGTTCCGTCTGTAAGACCGTTACCAAAGTCGTCCGAGGTCGACCCCTGAAGCGTTCAGTGCCCTCGTCGTTGGCCAGGCGAAGATACATATCCACTGCCAACTGTGGAGGAGCAGTTGGGGCCAAACGAAAGATATGGCCAGCGAGACTGTAGCGCTGCCTTGTGATCATGTCGCTGATGGGGACAGCTCCGCAGCGCTTATACAGAGTGTCATTGCTAATTCGTTTAGGGTACCGCATGTCGATGATGCTCCTTAGCTGGGTCCTGTGGAACGAATCCATTCATGGATGTCAAAGCAAATGCGGTATTGGAGGTTTATACGGACTAGCTCTACCCGTAACATGAGGAGCCTAATGCCGAATGCCAAGAACCGACTTGACGATGTTCAGCGTGCCCAGGATAGCACATTGCTGAGCCCTTTCAATGTGCAGAGTGCCTGCCAATGCCAACACAAAGTGTGAGAGGGACACACCAGTCAGTCCACCAAGCGCCCCAACAACCAGGGGCACAACGCGGACATCATCCACATGCCAGATGCGCCGCAGCTCTTGGCAAAGGGGAGCGTACTTTGTTATTTTTTCGGCGATTTTTGTGGGCACATTCTGGTCCAATGGAACACTGACATCCATCAGCAGCACCTGTGTGCTGGACCGCAACACCAGGTCTGGACGGTTGTGGCGCACTTGCGTATCCGTTGGGATATTGAACTCCCACAGGAGCTTCATGTCAAGATTTTCCGTGACAGGCACAATATGATGCTTCAGCGGGTTGCTTCCCGGCCGACCCAGACCATGCCGCTTGCATAATGCCCAATGCACCAACTTGACGAGCGTGTCATGCCGTTCGATATACAGTGTTTTGGCTAGGGCTAGGCAACAGGCCACAATGTGATCAACTGTTTCTCCGCGAGTGCCGCAAACTCGACAAATGTCCACAACGTCTCCCCGTGCAATGACCGTGACCTGATAGTGCCTGGTCGCAATGGCCTGATCCTGTACAGCCAGCAAGAGTCCCTCTGTCGCAGGCCTGATCGTTGGCGATTTCAGCCAGCGAAAACTCAAGCCCAGGTCCAAGCCAGCATCAGAAGCTCGTCTCCAGAACTGGTCATAGAGAGGCTTACCTTGGATAACGGCAAGGCACCGGAGAGCAACGGCCTTCTTGACAATGACTTTTGTGGCAGTCTCCAAGTCGGGTAGGTCAAGTTCACCCAGAAGTCTGGAGGCTTGACGTGTAACTGATTTTGACGGTGCCACATCATTGTCGTGATGGCGCTTAACAGCAGCCAACAGTGGCACGTTTGGGTGGGCTTGTAGGTACCGCGCCACCCGGACACGGGTTATATCCAGGAGATCCCGGAATGATAAAATTCCTCGACCACCCATGTCACGAGGCAGGTGGACCCTGGCGGCAGAGTCCTTTGGGTGGCGGGCGTGTGCTTTAAACAGTGCTTGGCGGGTCTGTCGGTCGAGTTCCTCTATCTCTGCCTTTGCCCACTCAACGATGCACAGAGAGTAGAGGATGACTGGAATGGCAAAGGTGTTGATGGCTTTGACCAAGTTCCTGGCGTTCAATTGAGACGAGCAGATCAATTGAAGACGGCGGCCGAACTCAGACTTTGCTGTCGTCTTCAATTCGGTGGCGTGAAAATGTGCTGATTCCGGGACACCAAGGTACCTGTAGGACTCCTCCGCCTGCAGCTTAGCAATGGCGTGACCCTGGAGTGTCTGGAGAGCAGACTGCTGATCGCTCTGGGCTCTCCCCCGTTTCATAGTGAGCCAGCTAGACTTTGACGGGTCGAAACGCATACCAATGCAGTCGCCCATTGACTCCACAACATTGGTCATGGAGAGCAGATTATTGTCGTTTCGGGCGAAGAGCTTCATGTCGTCCATGTACCACAGGTGCGATACAGGGCACACCTGGGCCGGTGGGCCACAGCGGTAGCCAAGACCCGTCCTGGTCAACTCGCCACTGATCAGATTTAGAGACAGGCAAAGTAGCAGTGGAGAAAGGGAATCGCCCTGGAAAATGCCACGGTGGATAGATATTGGGCGACTGAATGCACGGGGTATTTGACCAGGCAGTACCATTTGCGTTTTCCAATGATCCATCATGCTTGAGATGCATGAGACAGGATTGTCTGCAAAGCGGGTAGATCAACAGGCATCTCCGGATCCACTGGTGAGACAGGCTATCGAAGGCTTTGCGGAAGTCCACCCAGCACGTCGAAAGATTCCGACTACGGGATGCTGCATCAAACAACACACACCACGTCACATACTTCCACCTTGCGCACAACAACAAAGACCAAAGCGAGGGCGACCTAGAAAACAACCATTAACCACACAGCCGTTGCCTACACAACCCGCGGATCCTGGCTCTCAGACTGTGCTTGCTCCGCCGTCGTTGGTGGCGGTGGTGGAGGAGAATGGGCGTGGTGGCTCATCGGGTCGGCTTGTGTCGCATGGGAGGTCCGGTCGAGGTTCCATCCTCAAGCCGCATCACAGCCCTGCTCAAGGGCTTAGAGAGGGAGAGAGCGTCGCCTCCAAGGCATCCATCGGCACGAAACCAGCACCAAGCGATCACCGTTCACCAGCTGAAGGCTCTCCACCAGTTCTTGGATCTGTCCTTGTACTCAGCAGACAGACTACAGCTATGGGCTGCCCTGACGATAGCCTTCCATTGCCTGCTATGTGTGAGTGAGTACATGTCGCTGTCACCGCACGGTGCCGGCGGCCTCAAGACTTAGAGTTGTGAACACCTTCGAATAGCCAAGCAGGAGGCCTCTCTGCAGCTCCAGAGGACGAAGACGTCTCAATTAACAACAGGCGAGGAGGTAGCGCTGCATCGCTACCCTGACCCCGTATTATGCCCGTCCGAGCACTGCAGGCTTACGCTTGGTCCAGCAAATGTAGCAATGACAAGCGACTCCTCTTCAAGTTTCAGGATGGTCGCCATCTCACGGCGAACGACATCAATGCTGTCCTATACAAAGTGCTAGGTCCAAGCATCAGCAGCCATTCCTTATGCGTCGGGGGAGCCACACACAAGGCAGATCGAGGCGCCCCAAAGTATGCCCTGATGGCGGTAGGCCGCTGGTCTAGCAGGGCATATCGCACGTACATTCGCAGGCCCTCAGGCATGCCACAGCACTACTAGAGCCTGTGTGTCGCAAGCCATTCGGTACCTTTATTGGAGGCACGGGTGCTGCCGATGCGCGCCGCAGAGTGCACGCACATCGACACCATTGAACTATTCATATGTACTAAGATTTAGTGTTCCGCTGCCATAGCAACCTAGTAGTACACGTAGCCGTTCCGACGGCGCACGACCCCGCGGGTCGCTTCTGTTGTCCTTGCCTCTCTGATGCGTGATATGAGTACATCATAATAGTCATGACCTCATACTGAGTACATGTACGTCATACTTGATTACCGATCGCAGGCTCATGATTATTCATGCTGGAATAAACGCTTGCGCCACCCCATGGGCTCATCTGTCTTGTGTCGCACGAGGGTTAATTTATTTTTCATTGCTATCAGGTTCGGCTTCATTTTCTATGTTCTGCGCTGATGAGTCCACAAAGGAAGAAACAGGTTTGGAACAGCTCTGTCCACAGATTGAGTATCTCGCTCCTGCTATCAGTTTCGGCCTCATTTCCTCTGTGCTGCGCTGATGAGTCCACAAAGGACGAAACAGGTATGTTCACAGATTGAGGAGTTCGCTTCTGCTCTTGTAGCAGTCGAGCACTCTTGTGTGGCGTTTGCGTTATGCAGAGCTCACTGACTTGTCAGTTTGAGCACTCTGACAGGGTACGTTCAGGCCTGGTTTAATTAAAAAGGGCTTTGGACAATATATTTTCATTGCCACCATGTTTAGTCTCATTTCCTCTGTGCTGCGCTCATGAGTCCACAAAGGACGAAACAGGTTTATCCGCAGATTGAGTATTTACGTCGGGTATTGTGCCTGTGAGAAATACATGAAGTTTCAGGAAGATGTGATGCAGCAAAGTAAAAAAAAACCAAAAATCATACCCCTGGGGTCCGTTGGGATCCAACAACCCGGAATAAGGGTTAACTTACATGACTTGAAGGGCTGTTAGGTTGGCAAATACATTTGTAGGAAGGCTTGCAAGTTGATTATTGCCCAGGTTTCTACAAAGGGAGAGGAGAACAGTTCATTCAGAATATTTGCGAATATTTGGGTTTAGTGATGGCCGCTAACATACCAGGCGGTAAACCGTAATAGGAGGAATAGAACACAAGTCAAGTACTGAAAAGAATTGCATGAAAGCAAAAATGTGATAAGAAAATTGGAAAACTACTTAAACCCAGCAAAATTCAATGAAGCGAGCACTGTCACAGAAAAAGTCCATCGCCAAGGGCGCAAGGCATTGATAGGGCAATGTTTCGCGGTGCTAGCTTTTCATACGGCACATGATGGCTGCGCGAAGTACGGCAAAGGATAGCTGACATCGCATGTATGACACCACGTGCCCATAGGGTTTGCTGTCATGCTGCGCCAACATGCCACGCATGCGCTTTAGAAACATTCTGGGGATGTTCTTTCAGCCGTGGACAAGACAAGCGGAGTAAATTCCCCACGGTGAACATGAATTTTTTCTGCCTCTAGTGTTGCAGAAAAAGCGCTGAAATATTCTGACTAGCATGTGGAGCTGCATCTGGATGGAACACTCATGCATTGATAGAATTTAATGTGTTTTGCGCACGAGTCCAAAACCCTCGTACTCGAAGTACACGAATATCCAACCTTGCATCATTTGCTGTGAGATTACTGGCTACAGTGAATACCTCACTCTGAAAGAGAGCTAACAAAGGTTCAATCACTACCTCTGGGAAAACTTTAGTTAGCAAATCAGCAAAGATGTCACACACTTCGTAATATTGTAGCATTGTTCCTGACGGTGGGTAAGACCCCCCCCCCCCCCCCCCCGTCGAACTAGACATGGCATGTGCTGGAGTGAAATCCTTTCGCCATACACACGTTAATGGTACATCTTTCAGAGTCCATCCATACGTCAATGCAATGGCATCGCGGAAGTCACAACTCGACAGGCTGACACCATGCTCCTTCAATGCCAGAGTGTTCAGCTAGCCAGAGACACCCTTGGCGGAAAGGTGCTCAAGGTGGCGAACAGTTGATGTATCTAGCATCCTATGAACGTCAGCACACCGCAAATCATCGATTTCTACGCGACGATTTGCAGCAGCAGCTTTGGCACGCTTGGCGGAATCACAGGCCAGTTCAATAGCAACCGATGGAGAATACACTTCTTTACAGTCGGTTTGTGATTGGAGGAACTTGAACAAGATTATAAGATCACAAATTAGAACAAGGCATACTTCCATATTTGCATGGTGGTGGTTTGTTCTTAGCTCCATCGTGTACGTTTTAGCAGCGCTCGTTTTTCGACCCAATATTCAGTCGAATTTTGGGCCCATTTCGAGGTGGTCGCCAGTTCCAAGGTGTCCGTAAGTTATGCAACGAGCCCTCTCCCATGGTTGTACTCGTAGACCGAAAGGAAACCTACTTGCAAAAATTGGAGAGAGGGCCCAGCCTTGCTTTTCGGGTTTTCTCAGGCATGAGGTTCGTCGAATCATGTGGCATTTTGCAGCCTACCAAGAGTGGTCAGCCTAGGTATGGTTTGGCTCCATCTCTCACAATACAAGATAAACCTTGGAATTACATATCAATGAATTTCATTTTTGGGTTGCCTGAGACCCTTAGGGGAGAGCAGGTCTGAGAATACAAAAGTATGTGTGCAAGTAGATCTCTCCAATTTTGGTCGACATTTTGGAGGTATGTTCTCTTTGGGGTGCAATTCCTGAGGGAGTCGCCGGAGAAGTGACCACTCACGGAGCTCCGCAGACCAGGAGAGCTACCCATTGAGTTGAAAAGGAAGGTGTTGATGGCGTTCGCAACCCGACTAGTGGGTGGCCCGCAAGATTATGTGGGGGAGAGAGTCAGACTTGACAAAGCAGCAAGTCAGGACCCCAGCTCCCACATCTCCGCAACCTTCCACGGACGTGTGTAACAGTTCTCACCTCATGCCTAGCACCTGAGGTGCACACTGCGCTTATTACCAGCTTTCACACTTATTTGTCATAATATAACGTGTTGGGTAGATGAGTTGATTATTCGTTTGAAACGGTTATTCAGTTACACTGGTTGCTTTGAGGATGGTTGTCCTCGACCCGTGCGATTTTTTGGTCAATGTCGTCCTAAAAGTCATCGTTACCCTGATAAAGTATACCAGCTACGTGCAAAGCGCTGTAGGACATCCGCGACTGCAACTCTAGCTGTTCAGTCTTCCCGCTAACGCATCTCCAGTGCAGCCTTCGTCCGCTCCCCCTCTACCGGACCGGGATGGAGACTGCCGCTAGTTCTCTGAGATGACCTCAGAGCCGCCATTTTCTCGCAAATTCAGGCTCAGAAACGTCAAGGAACCTCCAGTCTTGACCTGTGCAGTCGAAGGTTTCAGGCAGTGGGTATTTGCAATGGAGCTGGCAATGGGAGCGCTGCTGCGCCAAAGTGCGAAAGACAAGGTGGCCTATGCAGAGAGTTATCTGGCAGAAAATGCACAGATTTGGCTAATGTCATGAATCGATGCTGGCCAGTTGGTCCCAGATTGGTATACAATGAAGGAAGCCATTGGAAGCGCGTACGGACCTATTCTTGACCAAGAACAGGCTCAACTGCGGTTGTTGAGCATTTGCCAGTCGGGTCCCTGGACGACTACATCACCGACTTCACTAAGTCTTGCAAAAGTATAATGGTGGAGGACTTGGACGAGCATATGCGAGCGGTGTTGTTTTCAAGGGATTATCAGATACGCACCGTTTCATTGCGGTCAGAGAACCCCTCGAATACAGTGACGGAATCTATCCGAGCACCGAGGCTGAGTGCTCTACCATGCCAAAGACACACGCTCCACGAAACAGTGTCGCTCGTGGCAGAAACTGGTGGAGGGAAGGCGCTAGCCCGGAGAGCAGGAAGCGCCGTGAAGGCGTTTCTCGGCATGGACAATTCGTATGGGAACGAAATCTATTATAAACAACGAGACAAGAGACCAAGACAAATGAAACAACTACATTGAAGAGTGAGAAAGAGATTATTTGAAGAGAAAGTGAGTAGGACGTAGTACGGGTGCATGCAGGCCGGCCAGCTTAGGAAAGGTTGTAGGTAAGATTGTACGGGAAGGGGTACCTAACATACCGCCCCTGAGCAAAAAAATGAACCGCGGCCTCGCGGGAGATATTTAGACGATGAGAAAAAAACACACACACACACAACGCACGGATCTGACAAAAATGCTATACAGTACTACATGTTACAACACTACAGTTTGTTCTGCTTCGCATGGCTAAACAGCTTAGTTATGCACTTTTTGCAACCAGAATGATAGAGCATGGCTCACCAACAGGTCCCTAATATTGATGGCTGGCAACACGCGCGCACACACACTAATAAACCGAAATAAATTTGACGAAGTAGGACGCATGAAAAATATACACGACTCCCTGCTCCGAACCCATGACCCTCGTCCTCTACCGCCCTGCATTCGTCTCGTCGTCAGTCTCGTCTCGTCTTCAACCTTGTCTCGTCTACCTCGTCTCGCCCAAGTCATGCAGGTCAGCTATTTTACTTTATTCCTCTCTCTCTCTTTTCCCCAGTCTCTCTTTGTCGTGAGTCCTACTTCGTCAAATTTATTTTCGGTTTATTAATTTCTTGATTTTTTTTCTCAGTCGGTAGAGCATGAGACTCTTATTCTTAATCTCAGGGTCATGGGTTCGAGCCCCACGTTGGGCGCCAATGTTGAGTATGAATTAGACCCAATATTCTCCAGACACAATTCACAACAGGACAGGTAGGTGGAACGACATTTATTAGGCTAGACAAAGAGACAGAGACAAAGACAAACTACTAGGACTACATTATGATTATTGACGAGAGCAAAGCAATATAACGGACCTGGGTGGCTATGGCAAACATGGGCGCGCAAGTAGCTACCCAGGCCAACGGATCGAAGGGTGAGTATGACGTAGTACGGGTGCATGCAGGCCGGCCAGCTTTTGGATTTGGATTGGATTGGTTTATTTAATGTCGAATAACAAACAGGCAGTGTTGCCTTATTACATGAGATCGACTAAAGTTACAGGCACACAAATGTAAGGAAAATATTAAAAGAAAAAAAATAGAAAAATAGAGTAGGATTTAAGACAGCAGCTAGCTAGCAGAGGAAAGATTGCATAATTATTTGATCAGTGAGCAACGTAAGTCAGTGAATTTTTCAGGTGGGATAAGAGAGCAGTCCGGAATTGACCTGGTTTCTTCAGCGATCGTATAGATGCAGGCAACTTATTCTAGAGAGGACATTGATATGAAGGGCTGCGTGTGGCAGCGGTAGATATGATCCTCGGGAAAAGAAGCAGGGGAACATCTGTGCTCCTCGTTCGACGGGTGTTGACAGAGGTGTAACGAGGTCATGAAGAAGCACACTACAGTTATTATGAATTACACGAAAAGTTAGCAGGAGGAGTTTGCGGCAATACATTGATTGCAGGGGTTGAATGCTGAGGCGTTCAAAAAGAGGGGCAGTTGCGGACAGGAAGGGAGCAGAGCAGACAACACGCACAGCTCGCTTGAGACGTTTTTCAAGACGATCACGTTGTGCAGAGGAAAGGGAAGAGGAAAAGCTGTTGCATGCGTATTGGAATGTGGGTAAAATTATACATCTCAAGTAGGTTGAGCGGCATGGCATTGGGAGGCACTGCCTGCGGCGGAAGAGAATGGCAATCTTTGAGGACACTGTCTTGGCTATATGGTCAACCATTGTGTTCCATTTCAGGTCGTCATCGATGTGCAAGCCCAGGTACTTGGCGCTTGTCACTTGCTGGAGGAGTGTAGCTGCACAGTGCACATTCAATGTCTTGTCGTCATGACGATTGGCAGGAATAAACAATATTTGTGTTTTTCGACTATTCAGGATTAGGTTGCGCTTGCCAAGCCAGTTGCTAAGTTGGGTGATGGCTGAAGACAGGTTGTTTGACAGCACTACCTTGTCCTTCTTGCTATCATGTAGCATGATGTCGTCTGCGAATTGGGTTAACTGGACGGCAAACTGATCCACTTC